ATGGTGAGGTTGTGGTATGGAAAACTTGGGAATTGCAGGTCCATGCAAATACCTTCCTGCTTTGAAATTCCCTCCAGAGTCCAGCATCTTAAAAGGATACTCTTAGTGGACCAACACACAGCCTTGGTGGGAACCATGATCCAGTCCTGAAAGTCTTCATCTCAAAAGCAATCAGCAGCAGCATACTTTTTTTTTCTATATATCCCCACTTCATTCTTATTTTACCTTTTATAGAGTTTGTTCATTCCAGTAAGATTTCTGGACATCGCAGAGTCAAGCTCCTGTCCCCTCCAGCTCTTGAGTCTGCCCAAAGTTATGGTCTTTTTGCTTTGCAGCATGGAGTTGTTCACCATCCTTCAGTTCTGCCACTAGGTCATGGTGGGACTTAGCAATGAATGCGCTGTTACACAACTTCAGGCATTATCTATAGTTTGTCTGGGTCACAGCTCACTTCTTGTAGCACTTCCTCCCTAGTACTGGCATAGACACCGATTCAATCTTCCCATTATTGTGCGTTTTTTGGCCATCTCAGACAATTTGGGGCAGGGGTCCCATTTTGAACAAAAGCAGGGAGGGCCCGAGATAGCTGGAATGCCTTTGGGTTTCCCTTATCCTGAAACAAGGTAAAATAGACCGGCTTTAATCTCTGTCACTTCATCTTTCGAACTGCCATTGCTGTCATGCTGCCATTTTCCTGCCAGTTTAATTTTTGTGGCAGATGGGTTTCTCAGATGTGTTTCCAGACTGGATGGGGAAATGACAGGAATCTTGATAACTCCTTCTCTGGGTGGCTTCTTGTAATTGGGCTGGAGAGCTGAAGAACAGGCAAGTCCATCTTCATTTCTCATAGCCTCTTCCTCCCTCCCACCCCATCAGAATGCCTCGCAGTAAAACACCAGCTGTCTTTTTTCCTAGTTGTGTCACTGGTAGTGTTGAATCTCAGAAACAGTCTTATTTACACTAGAAATTAATGGTGGTGAAATGTATAGAGGGAGGGTGGTTACAAAGGTCAGAGCTTGGATGAACTATATGATACCAAGAACTGGCACTCATGAGCACCTTCTTATTTCAACAGAGTGCCCCATATCAGATGTGATATGATGGGCGGTGACAAATTTGAAATATAAATATGATATGATATGATATGCTCAAAATCCCCCCCCCTTCCGCTGCTAATAGGTGGTCCTCCTCCTGTCTCCCATCCCACTTCTTCCCACCAATGGTGCTTGGCCTCCTCTGTCAAAAACCATGTCAATCACAAAGGAAAAAAAGGTACTTGACTGGAAAAGAGTCAGTTTTGTGGGGAGCCAGCGAGCAGGAGGGTTCGTGGTTATTCTGGTTGGCTACTGTATCATATGGGCTAAGTGTAGGCGACTCTTAGTAGCTTTCTGCTCAGCTAGTTCATGGCCCTTGCCCCAAGTTTCACAGCCTGCATTTGCACCCTGCCTTGTGCTGCACTGATCCCGGATGGCCTGAAGGAAGATATGTGGAGCCCCGTGTAGATCCTTTTTGTGCGGGACCTGCTGACTGCATAAAACATGCTCCATCAAGTGGGGGGTGGTTCTCCATTATACATGTAAACTGAGGTGCTTGATGGTAAAATGGGTCCTGTAAGAAGACTGAATGGCTGACACACGTTTCTTTTGTTGCAGGTTTTAACAGATTCTTCTGTAGCGTCTGTGTGGAAAGTGCCACACACCCTCCAGAACAACGACGGCTTTTGCTTGTATTTTCCAGTGTTTCTTTTGTCAGCAAGTTCAGCAGAATTGTTTTTCTTCAAGTGCCAGCCCTGATCCGACGGAGGAGCCAGCGACAGAAATGGTAAAAATGACAAAATCGAAAACTTTCCAGGCGTACCTGCCAAATTGTCACCGAACCTACAGTTGTATCCACTGCAGAGCCCACCTGGCTAATCATGATGAACTAATTTCCAAGGCAAGTCTCTGGATCTCATGAATTCATGCTCTAATGCCTATTCTGTTACCTACTTTAATTGCCTTAATGAGACAAAAAGTTATACCAGCATTTACATTTTTGAAGCCTCTGCTAAGAATCCAGTGAATAAAAATGCATACATGTGAGCAGTTTTTTTCAAACTTGGCAACTTTAAGATGTGTGGACTTAAATTCTGAGAAATTTGGAATTTAAGGAACTCTGGGAGTTGAAGTCCACACATGTTCAAGTTGCCAAGTTTGAAAAACAGCTAGTACAGAATCAGCTGTGTGTGTTGCGTATCATTTTTCAAAAGATTATGCGTTAAAAAGCACAGTGTTTAAAGGTGGGTGGTTTTGTTTTTTACATGTTTAGGGATATAACCACTTATATAAAACATAACCAGGGAGTGATCTGTATCCATTCTACTACTTGGATTTTTTTTTTAAGTTGTTCTGTGAAAACATTTCAGAAGCCACAGGCTCTGTATTTGAATCACGCTTTTTAATTTCTTCCTTGTTCTCTCTTGATCCATTCTTAGGAAGACTTAAAATTGATGTCCTGGAGAACAGTATTGTGAGCAAATTCTTAGCAGTTAGTTTCCCAAGTTCTGTGTAATCCTTTGGCTCCTTGACTGAGCGTATTTTCTCCCAAGCACATGTATTTCTCTTTCTCTTTGGTGTGTCTGGATCAGTGTTTCTCAACCTCAGCAACTTTAAGGTGCCTGGACTTCGACTCCCACGCTGGCTGGGGAATTCTGGGAACTGATGTCCACACATCTTAAAGTTGCTGAGGTTGCGAAACACTGATTTCGATCCTGTTGGAGAGAAATGTTGGACTAAGATGAGAAGTATTCTTGCATGGTCCAGATTTTTCTTCTTAGCAGTGAGATCTATCATGGCTGATATATCTACATTTGATGTCCGCTCTGGAACTAATGCATTCACTAGTACTAACTCAATATCTGTTGCTGGTTCATACAATGGATGTTAAACTCATCATACACAAATCAAAAACAATCACATCTGCTTAGTTTCCCACTCATTGATTTTTATTATTTTTCCTTTCTATGCAACCCCCCCCAAACAAACTAAAAAAAAACCCAGATCTTTCAACGAAATGCTTTGTAAACTATCTTCAAACTTTGTACCTCCTGTGTGTTGAAACTGTTTCCAAGGTAAAAGCATTTCAGCTTTTAAATAAACAGTTTACCAAACATACAAAATATTTTCAGACTTGCTGCTTGTTTAACATCCACATTGTTAAATACACTTACACATTTACTGTATTACGGCTGATCTCCTGTACATTTCAGGTGTGATGTACTGGTAAAATATTCCCAGCAATCATTTCAATGCAGTTAGGTGAATAGGTGCAATTTTGAGAAGTGAAGTTTGAAGCCACGGGGAAAAATTTTGTCCATTTCTTGTTTCTTAATTGAGTATGTTCACAAACCTGTAAGGGAGTGAAAGTTGTACATATGGCAGCGATTTGACATGTAAAGCACAGAATATTTCTGTTTCAAAAACAAACACTACCAGTGTAAGGCATTGAGTCATGATTGCCCTTAATATAAATCCAAACATTTCCTGATTTGCAAACTGTACATTGTGATAGTGTGGATTACTCACACTACTGAAAACGTGGTGATATTGGGAGATTTGATTTCCAGTTACATCTTGAAATTCACCCACTTGGAAGTGCTGTATAAATTAGTTTTCTCCAGTGGCGGATCCCATAAAGAAAGTTACATAGTTGGGAGACCCCAAGTTTTCAGTTACACAGTTATTTTTCATTCTGTCCCATCTCACAGATTCATTAACTCTTAATACCATTATTATGTATAAATTAAGTAGAAGGGGCAGCGTGACTGTTTGAGAGTTTGATGTGACTAGTTCTGTTCTTCTTCTTCTAGCACCATTAAAGGCTCTTTTCTACCATGAGTTTCTGACTAAAAGTAAGACTTCATGGATAATTGCTATGTGAACTGGTGCTATTTTTTTTAATTTTAAAAATGAACTGCAGCGATTTTCTCTCTCATGAAAATGCATACAAATATTAGTATCTCTGAAGTAAAGAAACCACGAAACACAGGTGCAGTTGCTCTGAAAAGCCCATTTTACAACTTAGCATTGAATTCTCAAACTTCTAGGCATCATACCTTTTTTTAAAAAAATACCTAAGCTTTATATTTGCATCACCAGCCTGAACATCTTCCTCCTACACTACATAATAATGTCAGTACATACTGGTTGATATAAACTTAATCTTAGTTGTGGCTAAAATCCCATTTACATTAGCCAATGTATTTCAACTCTAAAGCAACCAGTAATGCAAAGCTAAACATAATCTGTTTTCAGTCCTTCTGACAGTGTGATAATGAAATCTAAATAAAATCTTGAAATCTGCTCTGTAGAATATCTGTGTGTGTGTGTGTGTGTGTGTGTGTGTGTACACACACATACACACCCCCATTTGAGGTCTATTTTCCCTCATCATAGCAAAGAACTCAAGAGTATCCAAGTAAATATATCTTGGGAGATTCTGAAATGTGCCTTGATAGGAATGTCTCATAGATTAGGGCAGGGTTTCTCAATCTTGGCAACTTTAAGACGCGTGGACTTCAACTCCCAGAATTCCCCAGCTGGTGGGTCTAGCATCAGTTTCTAGCACATAATTGATAACTCTGCAGAAATCTGATCCTGTGCAAGTACCATTTCTAAGGAGCTGAAGATTACCACTAAAGTAACACTCAAGGCTGCATCTAGCCGACTTTGGTGGATCTTGAAGAAGTGAAGAGGGCTGGACTTCATTAGGACTTGGATGAGAGGTTCCCAGAAAATGCCAGGGCTATTGGCTATGATAGAAAGTTAAAAGAAAAAGAAAAGAGCTAATTCTGGAAGAAGCCAATCACTGTTGCCAAAAATCCCAGTATGGAGATAACCATGAAGACCTGGAGTTGAGCCTGACTGAAAGGAGGCTTCACCTTTTCAGGGGTAGCTGGCCTTGTGGGACAAACCTGAAGAGCAGAAGTAAAAAGGCAAGACTGGGATTAACAACTAAATCTAGCATCCTGTTCTCATTTGCGGTTCAGCTGCTGTCTCTGGAGGTGCTGAAGCAAGACATGAAAAGGGATGGTGGTGTCTGTCTGCTGTGGCCCATCGCTTTTGGGTCTCACCTGGAGGGAGTTTTATAGCTGCCATTCCTAGCTTACTGTGATATCCATTTCTCTCCCCCGCCTTTAAAAAAAGAACACCAAAGCAAGGAAATGATTTTGAGACCTAAAGGCTTTGAAAAATGCCTGTAGCACCTTCCAGTATCCTCCTCCTGGTCTCTTTTATCTTTCAAAATGATAGGAATGCCCACTTCCATAACATTTTAATTCCTTCTTGTTTTCAACTCCTTACCACTTTTAAAAAGCAGCCTTTCTCCAGCTGGATGAATCAATGCCCAGAAATGAAGCTGCTGCCAGGACTGTAATATATATATATATTTTCAAATATTCAAACATTTTTGTGGGGAGATGCAAAAACTTTGTTTGAAAAGCTTGCCTGCTTGACATGTTTTATTTCACTATTTAAAATAGTTACCAAAGGGAGATTTCTTTCTTTCCAGAGCTGTTTTTGGTGCACAGTATCCGTTTTCAACCATTTCAACTTTTAATAGTAACTCACTTTATTGCAACAACCGTTCAGTCACACCTGACGCGTTTTGGAAAGGAAACCTTTTGCTTTCAAATAATGTTGCTTTTTGCTTTCAAATAATGTTGAAACGCACTTAGCCTTGTAACAAAGGGGCTAATTCTTGAGCTGTCATTTTTGAAAACAGAATGCAATTGTGCCGTTTTGTGGTACTTTTAACTGGAGGTTTCCCATGCCATTTATTTCAGCCTGTTTTTGAAATCCTCCTGTGAAAATAACACTGATGCATCTATTCTTTAGTCACTTTGTCTTTGTTAAGGCGATACAGTAACAAGTATAGAAATGTTACTATTTGGTTCCTTTTTTTTTTTTTTTGCAGCTCTATAATTTATCCCATCCCTTTCCATGTACATAGAAGATTTGCAACGTTTCTGCCACTTAACTGGTGCAATGAGTATTAATACATAAATTGAAAAGTGGTCCCACTTCTTTCTGGCTGCTCCAGGCAGTGGCGGCGATTAGATTTACATCCACGTATAATTTTATCTAAATATTGGCTTTATCAATAATGAGCGGTTTAAACGACAGAAGCCCATTTCTGGCAGGTTTGCAGGCTTTTTTAAGGGAAGAAGTCCTTGATGCTCCCTGAGGAGCTACGGGGACAGAGCGCTGGTAGGACCTCGGTTCTGAGACCTGTGTCTGTGAGATGACCCACTTGTGTTACCAAGCAGCTGACGGACACACCCTCCAGATATTTGGGACTTTAGCTCCTATATGCAAGTCACAGTCAGAAACTACCTTGAGGCAATGTCAGAACGTGCTTCCCTTGACATAAAACCATGGACATCAGTGTGACATGTTCGTTTGTTTGTGTGACCGTGTGGCTAAGTATGTCCCATTTATTAATGCTGCTTTCCAATATCCACGGATGGGAGGACCTTTTGTCATTTCTGCAGGTGTGTGCGTCATTGTTTTCCCTCCCCCCCCCCCCCCCTTGGTACAATAGGAATTTTAAAATTGGGTTCTTATGATTTTGCATGCTTTTTTTTTTTTTTGACAGCGGCTAAGTTAAAAGCACTGAAATAATTACGCTTTAGTCATTTCAAATAGGGCGACCATGGTACGGTATTCTAGATTAGATTTGACAGTAGTCCCGCCATCTCCAATATTGGCTATGCCAGCAGGGGATAATAGAAGGCACCTTGAAAAGACTCCAGATGGGAGAAGCCCATTGTAGAGGGAGAAATTCCCCTTCTCTGAGTTCAGCAGAGCACTCTGTTGCTACAAGTTTTGTATATAGTATTCACGTCCTGCATTAATAAGCTTGTCTACAGTACTGTCTGTCAGTTGAATGGAGATAGCTGGCAGGTCTTCCTTTCCTATTACTTACCTTCTAAATATGCTCTGAATCAGGTACGGAGAAACACGTGGGACTTCTGAGGTGGTGGTGGGGAGAACAAAGAAATCATGGTGTGAATGTGGCCTTGGGTTGAAGAATGTTGAACAGAGCCCATTGCTTGTGTGAATGAAGCCATTAACTAGCAAGTAAGCGGTCAGAATCAGATTGGTGGTATGTATGTTGGTATTTTAGTTGTGAGCTTTGGATCCAAAATCTTCTGAATTACCATGACGACTAATGTATAAGTACATTAAGTTGTCAGCTTGGCTGTGGCACTGAGAGGCACGTGCTTGTTTTTGGGTGTCCAAGGCATGCATCTGCTTAAAGCGACAGAAATGGTTGGGAATATAAACAAACACATCCTGAGAACGGTTTTCAAGGAAACCTGTTTCCATATAGATTTATAATCCCTTTTTGAAGTGCGTAAGAGGTATTGAAAGAACACCTGTGGAACTGCATTTGAATGTCTTCTGCCAAAGCAAAATGGTGGGTGACTTCATGGACATCTAGTGCAATGGCATTGTGACTGCTTAGTTGCGGCTTAAATGTTTGTCTCTTCAGTAGTCATACAGCAGAAAGGTGTTGCTTCATTGAGACGTTGGGTTAATGCACTGCTAACCGATCTTCACAACGCAGTGCCAATATTCCTGCAAGTCCTAAATCTGCAGTGGAGTATTTTCCGTTAGATACGTTTCACGAGATGATGGTATTGTCTGTTTGTCCATCTTTCAGATACCTGGATAAGAATCATGCAGTTCGATACCCCAGTGCTGTGTTACCCTGCTGAAAAGGAAACATGAATAGTTATTCTAATAGAATATTAGTGGAATATAATATCATATTATATTATATGAAAGCACAGTATTAAGTCCTTCACATCATTTTACCAATGTTACAACCATCCTGTATTTTTGGCCATTATTAAACTCATATTACAGATCAGAGATAGGTAGGAAGGATGAAAGACAGTGTGGTTTTAAATGTGCCCATTGTATAAAGATGAATTGAGGACTTCTAGATCACTTCTTAATTGTTGCACCACACCAGGCCTTGCTGTACCTCCATAATAACAAACTCACTATGCAGAACAATGATTAAAGATGTCAAACCTTGTGGACTTTGAGAGAGTGTGATATCTGGGACTGTTTGCCCATGTGCTTGGGTAAAGATTTGGTTTGAGACTGGTCTGCAGACGATGAATTTATAGCCTCCCAAACCAGACCTGAAGATCCATTATTTCAACACTCAGTCCAGCTTCGCTATCAGTTACTGTGCGTTCCAAACAATGCCCATTTCAAAGTTCATGCAGTGGTTTTGCTTTGCCTTCTGACAATGAAAGAGGGAGACCTTCATTGAAAGAATGCTGCGACGTGGTCTTACGAAACGCTTTTTAAAATGTAAGATTCATTTCCCTCTTCTCTTTCTTACAGTCTTTTCAGGGAAGCCAGGGGCGAGCTTACCTCTTTAATTCTGTGTAAGTACAATGACATTTCTGCTTTTCTATGGCACTGAGAAACATTCTGATATTGCTAGCTTGTTGTTGGGTTTGGTTTGTGAATAGCGAAAGAACGAAAGATGTCAAATTACAGCTTCCAGAATAGCAACATCACACTGTTAGGATAATTCTAAGGCAGTGTTTCTCAGCCTTGGTTACTTTAAGATGTGTGGACTTCAACTCCCAGAATTCCCCCCCCCCCCCCCCC